TACTAGCTACTACTACTACTTATACTACTACTACTACTTTTACTACTACTACTACTACTACTACTTCTACTACTATTACTACTACTTCTACTTCTACTACTACCTATTACTACTACTACCACTACTACTACTACTACTACTACTACTACTACTACTACTACTACTACTACTACTACTACTACTACTACTACTACTACTATCATTATTTGTACGAGTAATGAGGATGATGATGCTGCTGCTGATGGTGATTCTGATGACGATGCTGATGCTGATGTTGATGATGATGATGCTGACGATGATGACGATGATGATTATTCTTCTTCTTTTTATTATTACTCGTATTCGCAGTATTATTATTGCTTTTATTTATGCATGTTTTTTATAATTGTTTCTTTATGTATCAGTATCATTATTTCCATTATTACTCGCATTATTTTCAATACCCAGAATCGTTATACATGTTTTTTCGTATTTGTGATTCTTATGTTGTCGTCCATGTTGAAAATGCGCGGCAGGAATGGGACGGGGCGCACGTCACGCGCGAGAGGCCGACATGTCGCTCTCGCCTCAGCGCCGCGCTCCTCTCTGTAGAGGCTTGAGCTCCCGCCCGGGCGCGGCGTTTTTTTTTTTTTTTTTTTTTTTTTTTTTTTTTTTTTTTTTTTTTTTTTTTTTTTTTTTTTTTGTTTTTTTTTTTGTTTTTTTTTGTTTTTTTTTTTTTTTTTTTTTTTGTTTTGTTTATATATATATATATAATATATTATAAATATCCGAGATGTCGGCGACGACTCCCGAGCTGGGATAGTCGAACTCCCGCCTCGGAGTCGCGCTGATTTCGACTGAGATTGGCGTTCCCGCCTCGGCGCGGTGCGTCTCCTCCCCCTCCTCCTCCTCCTCTCCTCATCCTCCTCCTCCTCCTTCCTCCTCCTCACTTCTTCCTCACTCCTCACTCCTCCTCCTCCTCCTCCTCCCTCCTCCTCCTCCTCACTCTCCTCCTCCTCCTCCTCCTCCTCCTCCTCCCGCCTCAATCCTCTCCTCCTCCTCCTCACTCCTCCTCGTCGCTCGCCCATTTTTGGGGGGTCCGCGCGGGCATGGGCGGCGTGTCGCCCTCGCCCCCAGAATCAGCCACGCGCAGAGGGGGGTGGGGGGAGGGGGGAGGGCTTCTAGAAGCACCCCCGCTTGTTAGAAGGTGCGGGCCTTCGCTGCAGATGTAAGGCCGGCGCCTTCTAGGAAGCAGCCTCCTTCTACGAAGCCTCCCCCCCCCCCCCACCCCCTTGTGCGCGCCGCCAACAGAAGAAGGTCCGAGCGCACTTCGCTCGGCACCTGGCGCCCCGCGCGGGCGCGGTGCGCGGCTCGCTCGCCGCACCGCGTGCGGACGCAAGCCGAGGGCGGCCGCGGGGCCGCCGCGCCCCGCGCGGGAGCGGCTCGAGTCGCGTTACCCGGCATATTCCGATCCGCCTTACCCCAGATGGAGGAGGAGGAGGAGGAGGAGGAGGAGGAGGAGGAGGAGGAGGAGGAGGAGGAGGAGGCGGCGCTTGCCCTGGTGGCCGAGGCCCCCTCCCCAAGGCGCCAAGGCCGCGCGTGGGAGCGAGCGGCGCGGCGGCACCAAGGGCGCCTCGCTTCGCGGCCTCGTTCCGCCTCACCCGGAATGGCTCGAATTCTCCCGGGATGCTTCGAGAAGCCGTGCCCCGGAGGTTTGGCAGAGCCTTCACTCACAGTTTCCAGGGTTGCTTGCCTGGCCGACCCGCCTTCTTCCATGGGGCCGCCAGTTGCCCCATCGCCCGGCGACGGGGCAGCGGGGCAGCGAGAGCAGGCGAGATGCCGTCCTCGCCCAGTCGCCGCGCAGTTTGCCGGCGAAGGTGGCGGTGCCGTGTCGGCGCGGCGTATGCTTCGTCTTCGCCGCGCCCATCGGAGGCTCTTCCGCTCCCGCCCCTGTGCGGCCCGCGTAGCTTTCCCTCCGCCAAGTCGTCGGGAACGGGACCGTGCATGGGCGCTTTCTGTTGGCGAGATGGGATAGCGTTCCAATCCGACTCTCAACTTGTGCCACAATTCATGCTTATATTGTGTGATGGAGGGTGGGAATAGGCGGGCCCTCCTGACTTGCTCGACCTGGCTAGCTTGACTTTGCTATTCTTACTCCTACTGCTTACCCTTACGCTACCCGTACTCGTACTCATACTCATAGTATACTCTGCGCTGCTCCTGCCAAGTAAGCTCTATACTACTTTACATTATTATACTTGACTTTCTTATGCCACCTACCCTACTCTACGTAACCCAGCTCTACCCTATCCTACTCTACCCTATTTCACTCTGCGCTGCGCTACTCTACTCTAATTTACCTTATTTTATTCCTACGCTGTACAACTAGGTTCCTACTCTCCTCTCCTCTTCTCTCTTTTCCTGTCTTCTGCTCTCCACTGTTATACTCCTTGTCTACTCTTTTGTATTATGCTCTGATTTGTTCTGTATTACTCTATTCTACTTTATTGTATTATGCTTTACTCTACGCACATGTTCTTCTTCATCCCTACTTCACATTCCACCTTGCTGTACCCTACTCTACACGATTCTACTCTAC